GGAGGCTGTGAGGGACGCCCTCCATAAGGACGCCTTTTTAGGCCGACCCACGAACAGCCCGTTCACTGTCGTGAACGCCGACAACGCCATCAGTACTTATTAGACACTAAATATGATAATTAATAATTAAAAATATGAAGTCCTCAATAGGTTTGGCCGACGATAACGGCCGCCTATGGAGAGACCACCGCAGGTTCGCCTCACAGACGCTCCGGGACTACGCCAAGAGTGGTATGGAGTACAGGATTCAACAGGAGATCCGTTATCTCATCGCACGTATCGACGAGACCAGTGGTCGCCCACTGAATGCCGGCAAACTCCTGACGCCCAGTATGTCCAACAATATCTGTCACCTGGTGTTTGGCCACCGATACGACTACAACGACCCGAAACGCCAGGCCATGGATAAGATGCTGGACGAGGCCTGTAAAGTGTTCTCGGTGATCGGGGTGCTGGCGATGGCGCCGGCGTGGTTTTGTAAGCTAGTGTTCAGGGCCAGTGATTTCGGCAATAAAAGGCAGTTTGACATCGCGTTTGATATTTTTGAGTATGAATTTGAGATGTGCTTTGAATTGAGATTTTTGTGCATTAATTGTGACATTTGTTTCGCGACAGTAAAGAGATCTCTTCGCACCAGAAGTCGTTGTCTGCGAGCAATAGAGTCAATGATTATATCGACGGATACTTAGCGGAGATGGAAGTGAGACAACGAAAGGATCACATCTCTCAGTATAACTTCTCCCGTCAGTCCATTAAACTAATTATGAGATTATGTTTTTTGTTAATTAATTAATTTTTACAATAATTTATTGGCTTTTAGTTCGCAGACTACAAGCCAACTGTCGGGCGTTTTTCAGCGCCGGTAGTGGGACTGTGCGGACGACCACCGAATGGCTGTTATTACTGTCCGTTAGATACAGCGATCACCAGAAGAGGATTCACGAAGAGATCGATTCTGTGGTCGGAAGAGATCGGAGTCCCTGTTATGCCGACAGACTTCATATGCCGTTCACTCAGGCGTTCATTAACGAGTCGTTTCGATACAAAACTCTTTTCCCG